TTCAGGAAAAAAGATCTGTGGCTGTTGGTGGACATTCGGCATGATGAAACAATTGGCTGGCCTACTTGCCTGTATACCTACTTGGCTACCTACCTGCGCGCCCTCTGCCTGTGCACTCACTGTGCATAACAATGTGTTTTGGGGGAGTGGCTTTGGAGAGAGGCCAGCTGTTTCTCCAACGTTACCTACTCAAGCTTTAAATATGGTGGATGGTTGTAGTTGAATTTGAGGCCCCAACGCACATGGCAAACTTTAGCATCATAGTTAAACAGGGAAAAGGGTCAGAAACATTGACCCAGGAGACTGGTGTTAGTTTCCCTTGTGAAACAAAAAGTCCATCTGAAGCCTGGATTCTTTTTAGATATGTTACAAACATTATGTACCGGTAAGTAACTTTAATCAGAGCCGGCCCTGACAGGGATTGGGGTCATCACTTCTCAATCCTCAGGAATTGTTAAAAGAATTCAGCAGCCAAACTCACAATTTTAGCATAAACAGCCAATTCAATAGTCATGGTCCACAATGAAGTGTGATCCGCCTCCACAAAGCCTTGTCAAACTCCACATCATAGCCTAAACTGGGAGACCAAACCTAACCTGGGATCTGGGAATGTTTCCCCACATAAACTGTGTGTCAACCCAGATACTATTTTCTTGCTTTGTAGTAAATTTATGGGGTAATTTTCCTGAAATGCAAGAGCACTGGTTTAGTTTAAATGGTGGAGGAGACAAATAAAGAGGAATGCCTGGGAGCCTTCCCCTAGAGAATTTTAAGCATCAAAGACTCCTGCATTCTGGTGAAAATTTCTCTCTCTCTCTATATATATATATCTAAAGGAAAACACAATATTCAGGCAGTATGTGACAATTCAAAATATTAACATTTAATAGAATATAATGCAGTTAGGCTTTCAGGCATTCTGTTGCTTTTAAATATATTTTCTCCTGTAGATAAACTTTCCTAATTTAATGAAATCCCTGCTGAGTCAGTACACATGCTGAGCCTTCCCTCCTCTTTTGAGTCTCCGTTTGGGGGAAATAACCTCTTGTCTTTTAATCTCAATGATAAATGTATTCATTTTAATTCAGTTAGAAATTCCTGCACTTTAATATCTCCTGTGTTTCAGCAGGTTTTCTGCTCATGTTTAAAACTTTCTGCACATTAAGAATATCTCCCACATATATGTGTTCTCTGACATTTCCAGAAAAAAATGCAATATTACGAGACTAACGTCATCATTTAATGAGAATTCATAATATTTTCAAGTCTAACTGGCCTCTACTCTGCTGTGCATTAGGTTATTGATCCGCTGGTATATAGCCTATCCCCTTCAGACCGTTAGGCCGACACAGTTTGGGACTGCATGGTGCATGTGAAACCGAAACCTCCTAGAAACACTACTGATCAGGCAGAACTCTCACCATAAATCCACACATTAACTTCAGCAGCTAAAGTGCAGCTCACAGTCCAAAACAGGAAGGCTGCGCAAGGTGCACATGATTAAAATTGCTGGTGTTGCATCAGCTGGGTGGAGTTGATTTGGGCTGAGTCGAAAACCCTCTCTTGCGGTGCACCCTGACATTTTGTCACAGGCCGGCCCTGACGTCAATTATTTGAGTGTTCCCACCATGTTTTATCTAAATTAATGGAAGTGCAGGCAAATGACAAAGTCAGTTCAGCTCATCATCACAAAAACAGCTGCTTCATATTGTGTGTGTGTTTGTGTGTGTGTGTGTGTGTTCGCGCGCGCTTGAAACACTAAAGTGCCCTCTTGTGTCTTTATTCATCGTATTAATTATCCCTGATAGATGAACTGTAGATGCAGCTCAACAAACAGCAGAGGTCTGTGCTGTTTGGAGGGAAAACAACTAAGTGTTCAGATTTTTTTTTGTCTTCCTACCTAGTTTCCGTGGTAACAGCAGAGCATTTTGATACAGTAAGAGGAGAGAGAGAGGGGACACTTTTTTGGGTCTTTCTTTTTATTTATTGTTATACACAGAATGTTTCCTACTGCCTTTTTCTTATTTAATCTTTTTTTAAATCAATGTGCTTTGGTGAGATGAAACAAAGATGAAACTGTCCAGTTCGGTTACGACAGTAGAAACAGTAGAGACCAGTCTAATGCCTCCAGTAACTGAAACACAGCAGAAACCAGAGTGTTATTAATGCTCTGCATTCTTGTTTCTGCTTGAAGGGATTTAATATTTAACTGCAAAAGTTTGACTCCAAATCAATAGAATACAAGTTGCTTTCATGTGCACATATATATATATATATATATATATATATATATGTGTGTGTGTGTGTGTGTTATTATATTATCAGACTGCTGCATTTTAATAGATGCTCTGTTTTCTCTTCAGGCCAGGGCGCTTGGTCTTGATGTAGGCGGTGTAGATGGAGTTTAAACCGCTAAAAAAGTGCGAAACGCACCCTGTGGCGGTGCTTCACAAACAGAACCATGCTGAGATATAATACATCTAAGAATAAAATATACTTTACATGCGCAATATTAATAATACTCAAGGATGCAAAACATATCAGCACAAGGACGGGAAAGTAAAGAAAGCGAATGCTAATTATTTCACTGAAGGCATCAGCCTGGAAAAGTCATGACAGAGTGGTGAGTCATTCTCCAGAAACTATCCTCACCTGTCACTGCTGGTGTTTTTTTTTTTTTTTTTTAACCAAAAGCACAATGCAGCCTGCACCCTGGCTCTGCTCACCATGCCGTACCCCGCTTTGTAATCAGCACTGATCCACCCACATGGGTCAGTGTACAATTACCACTCGACCATGAAATAACAGCTTCCTGCTGTCTCAAAGCTCAGACGTGTCAGAGCTGTGATTAGCCTTCAGGGTCGGACTCCAGAGCCATGATTGGCTCATTTTTAGACCCGAATGGAAATGCTCATCTTCAGCTTGTGGATTTTATATCTGATGTACATATTTACATCCTGGAGGGGCTTGTTTATTTATGAGTCACCAGTGAGCCATGACCATGATGGATGTGAATTCTTGTGTTTCCTCTTTGTTTGGGGACCCACAGACCCCACTTCCTTTAATATTTATAGTCTTTTCTTCTGACCTTATTTATACCTAAGCTGTTCTTAAGTATACTAACATGCAGTACTCCGCATACACTATGTACATACTTGTGTAGTGCATACATTTCTAAAGTGTAGTGTTTGACCTCTTCTTCTTCTTCTTCATTTTAATGGTGAATTGTAAGGGGGTGGGTATCACCAACATTAAACCGCAATTGTCACCCGGTAAAACATCTGCAGGCTTGTTTCGCTCCATTGACTTCAATAAAATTTTTTAAACTGAATAAAAATGAACATACTTTCACATTTATGATCGCAACAATTGAAGCTTCCTCGGCTGCCATTTTCACAAGTTTAAATATACATTGGTGGTCCCTCGCCTCCCGCTATGTAGGCAAGATGGCGACCCTTCAGAGTGAGAAGTGTCCAGCATTCCACACTCAACTTTTTGGCTGTTGTGAGAACACCATTAGGTGCTTATAGTGCACTGCATTTTGACATAATTGCCAGTGTGAACACACTTAGGCACTCAAGATTGCAAGTGTAAGTATGGAAGGGCGCAAATTTAGACAGAGCACATATCTGTAGAAAAGTACTTAAGTGGGCATGCACATTTGACAAAATACAGAGAAGACCATGAATCATAAGCCGTGTTTCCATCACTGTTTTTTTATGCGCATTTTGAAGTGTCGCATTAGAAAAGGTTGATGGAAACAAAACAATCCTTAATTTTGCAAAAAAGTTTTACGCTCGCTAGAGGTGGTTTTGCCTTTGTCCAATAAGAGTTAATGCACTAAATGGGAGACGGAAACACTTTTCCCGAATAAGTTCTGACCTTGTAACTCACATCTGATCAACTGTTTCCACTGTCGGCATCTTGCCTGATATTCCCATTACACGCGGAGACGTGGCTGGTGCAACTTGCCCTCTTGAAACGCATTCCTGAAGATATCTCTCCATTTTTTTCAGACCCATGGTCCTCGGGGTCCATGTGACTGGTTTTGTTTCTGGTTTGGAATCCATGTGTCTTGTTTATTACAGCCATGTGTAAACTACTGACTTGCTGTTGCCTGGTGTATTTGCTCCGAAGCTGATGGAAACGCACCTAATTCACATGTTCTTTTTTCTTTTTTGCAACATTTCAAAAGTCTGCTTAAAATTCGCATGACAATAAGATGGAAACATGGCCATTGTTACATATTCCGTGGAACCTCTCATGCACCTGAGTGTGGACTCACACAAACAGTATGTGTACTGTCAACAGCAATCACAGCTGTAGAGCAGATAGAAATTCATTATGTTGAACCATGTTTCCCAGCTGGGGACCCCAAACAGTTTTATCAGTTCAACATCATGCCTAACCTGTTCTCACATTCAGGAGAAATTGGGCCCTTGTGGCTGTCGCTTTGCTCCAGGCTCTATTCTTGTGTGGGAGTCTGTTCAGCTAAGCTGTTGGGAAACAGTAATTTGCAAATATCTTATGCAATAAATGTTATTCTTGCAAGTTTTATAATCTCTCATTAGCTATTACCTGATTAGGTGATATGACAAAAAACCTACAAACTACATGATGTAAACCATGGCCTCAATATGATCATGATTTGCTATCACAGCATCATATTTAGAAATACTCCTCATTATCTGTCCTCCGTGTTCATTGCAGCACAGCAGTAGTCTTCAGCCACACACGATGAATTCATCATCAGCATGAGACCATTGCGAAACACGATAATATAATTAGGCTTCATATTCTCAGACAATTTGGACAAGTCAATATTAATCTGATAAAACAATGTTAACTAAAAAGATTTTCCTCCGGCTTCCGTGTTTTGGGGGAAAAAGAGAGGTTGTATTCACACTGGAATATGGAGTCAGTTTATGATTAGGACTGTCTGAACACAGCGTGTGATTGGTTAATATAACTGACTGTTCTGTTTTTGTTTTTGTTTACAGGCAGAAATATAAAAGTACATCACAGAGGTAAGACACACACACACACACACACACACACACACACACACACAAAGGAAGCTCTTAGTCTCTGAAGTACTGGACTATAGCAGTAGCTGTTAGCAGTTTCACCAAACAGACATTTCACCTCTAGACTTCATTTTCATTTAAATAACAAACAAAAAAGTGATTTCTGCAGCAGAACTTCCTCTTTCTCTCTATCTCTTTCTTACAGCCCCTCATATTTATGTGGGGACCCTTCGTGGGGCCCGGCATCTAGGTTGGGAACCCCTGAACTAAACTGGCTTACTTTAATTAAAATAGTTAGAACTAATAACTGTTATTTGGCTCCCCTAGTGTAAGTCACAGCTGTACACATGCATTTCTTGATCAAAAACTCGGAGTAGTCAATTACTTTGCTAACAGCCAAAGCAGGTGCGACAACACCAGACAAAGCAATATCACAGACTAGTCAATCAGAAAGAAGGCCAGCTTGCCGTCCTGTAGACTTTTATTTCACAAAGCTCTCTCCAACGTCCAGCAGCCTAGTGCTTGGTCTCTCTCTTTTTTCCGCTTCCTTCATCTGCGTCCTCTTCGGTCTTTTCGCCTCTGCCATTAGCTAATGTTACGTCCATAGCGGCTGCTGAGCCCAGTTATGTTGCCTGCTGGCATATCTGCGGATCTCCACCTGCAGCAGCATAAAATTGCTTGAAACTTGGGTGGCGAGCTAGCCAACAAAGCTAGACAGCAACCAGTGCAGAAGCACTTACATTAACGTGTGTTATGTAATAAGTTAGCTAACATCAACTCAAGTTATATAGCTAGCAGCTAGCAGTTAGTTTAATAAATAACTAGTTACCAGCAGGTTACTAATGCCAACAAGCATTTTTTCACAGCTTACACTGTATCATGATAAAGCTGTTGTTCTCTTGCACTTGAAGCCAAAGTGGTCACGAGTTTTTCCTTGCACCTTTTTGCACCTCAGTCACGGATGTAATTGAAAATGTACAATACTTTAAACAAAACATACTTAAATAAAAATAATATTACAGATTTTAAAAAACTGCTTCAAAAAGTACAAGTACTCAAAAAAGGTGAGTAAATCATTATTTTCCACCTCTGTTTCAGACAGAGGCTGAAATGAAGGCCTACATGAAGAACTAGTATAAGTTTGCCATACAGGAATCACAGAACTACAATATAGGAATGGAAATGCAGTACAATAGATCTCCTTTAAGATAATATTACTGCATAATGTTACTTTAAAACTAGCTAACTGTACGTAAAGTAGTTCAAACAAGTGCTTCTCTAACACTGATGCATGGGTATTAACAATAATGTAACACATGGTAATATATCATCTACATTTCTGCAGAATGTGTACTTGTACTTTTGATACTTGAGGTACATTTAACACTTTGGTACTTTTACATAAGTGGGTTATATATGCAGGGCTTTTACAGAGTATTTTTATATTGTTGTATTGGTAGTTTTTCTTAAGTTGAAGCTCTGTTTACTTCTGCGCTGCTGGAAACATCACTTGGGATAAGAACTACTTGAACTGCCAGTCTAGCATATACATACATATATATGTATATATATATATATATATATATATATATACATAACTGAAGACACTCTGGTCCTTTAAGTCCTTATGGTTGAACAAATTATCATGGCCCATGTGTTGTTTATTCTTTTGGTGATTTTATGTTTGGTCTAGTTCTGTTTTCACCGTCCCTGTTCGACCCCTGTCCTCATCTTAGTTCATGTCTCAGTGTGTAGTCCTGGTTCTGTGTTTTAGTTCTGTGTCTTAGTTCTTCGATCTGTTACTAGTTTGTTGTTTTCCATTTAGGCTTTACAAGTATTCTGGGTTCTGTTTCTTCCATTTGTTTGAGTTTTAGTCCACTCGTCAGTCTGTTTTGTCTGTGTCCTCATTTGTTTCTGCATCATAGTCTTGGTTTGTTCAGGTGTTCATCTCGTGTCAAGTTACATTTTGCCTATGAGTGCCCTGTCTGTTCACTCCATGTGCCTGTGTCTTGCCTTGTTCACTGTTTTACTCTGAAGGTATCTATGTTTGCTGTCTGTGTCTAGTTTTGCTTCCTGTTGTTTTTACCTTGATGTGATCCACCTCTTATGTTCACTCCCCGCTCGGATTAGTGTCGGATTAGTGTAGCTTGTTGTTGCTCTGCCGCCTGAGTCGAATGGGTTTGTTCCTGCTTAACCTTGCCTGGTTCTTGGATCTTTGTTACACCTTGTTTTCTTTGGATTTGCTTTGAACTCATGATCATAATAAATCACTCAACTGAACCCGCTCTGCTCCGGTGTCCTGTGTTTGGGTCGACAAACCTGTTCACACACGGCAATCTGCACTGCTTTGAAATATCAAATGTGGATGTTTTTGCAGTGGACCCAACCTGTCACCTGATGTGACTGCAGACCAGTAATATATATATCAAACATCATGACACAGTTTGTACTTTAATGAATTTTAACTCAACTTGAAGCCCTCTCTGTCATTAAATATATAGCAGCAGGGCTTATCACCCCAGTTAATACTACTATAATGCAACTCTACTATGTCTATTACTGCCACTACAACTCGCGGTGCATTCACATGCTCCTCGGATGGTCCCATGTGCTCTTAAGTCAGAATGTGGACTCAACATGGACGCTACTACAAAAATGTGTTGGATTAGTATTATCAGAGCATATAAACAACACGCAGACATCTAGTTCACTCTACATGGACAGCAAACTAACTGTTATAACCATATTACACATTACATGTTTGCAAAATATATATATGCAATACGTGATTTTGCACAAATCAAAGTTCTGTATACTTCTTTATGTTCCATGTGCACTTTATTTCTCTTTTTGCAACAGATATTTAAGGAGGAAATAATTCTGATTATTCCAACACCACATGAATGCACCATCAGTCACCGCTCAGCCCTCCCTTTCCAACACGCTCCGACACGCTCTTCTTACTTCTAATAAATCAAAAACTACTAGGCCTACCACTACTAATAACATTACTTCTTCTTCGTACGTAATGCGCTCTGTAGTGTAGTTTGTCCGTTTGGGCTACTGTAGAAACATGGCGATGCAACATGGCAACTTCCATGTAAGAGGTAGAAACATGATGATGCAACATGGCGACTTCCATGTAAGAGGTAGAAACATAATGATGCAACATGGCGACTTCCATGTAAGAGGCCCTGCAGTGTATGCAGATAGACTCATTCTAAGGTAATAAAAACATAAGGGTTCATCATGTAAGGTCTTTATACGCCACTGAATATAGTTATGGATATTATATAGCATTTCTGTCAATAGATCCTCCTAAATATTACACACTGGACCTTTTTAAATGTCTGCAATCTTGAACTTTTGGTTCTCCCTCGCTCCGTCTCCCTGTCTCCAGCTCCAGCTGTAACCATGGCAACTAAAACAATTTTCATCCCGTTTACAGGAAGGTGTTTGGTTACCGTGACAACTGCACGATGCCTGGCCGCAGCGCCGAGTCTTTATGTCTCCCTGTTGTCAGCCTCCTCTGTTGTAAACATTCAAACTATCCCTCTATTATCCCTGCACAAAATATCCATCCACCCATTCATCTCTCTGTCCATCAGTTTATGTACCAGGAGCGTGGGTGTTGATACGAGCCCTCTTTGGAGTGGCCACTTCATGCCCACTCAGCATCTCTGAGCAATAAAATGAGATTATTTTTTCTTAAAGTTTTACTGTGTTGTGGAAACCTTTATAAATACAAAAACTTCAGTTTCAACATGCTGTCCTGGCTGACAGAGACAAGTGAGTATAAAGTCATAGATACAACAGTCGGGTGTGTATGGCAGCATGTTTATTTCCAGGAAGAGATTCCCATTGCTTACTGTGGGAGTCAGCTGATTGACAGGAGGCAGAGTGTCATGCGTCCATCTGGAGGAAACAGATTTTCATGTTCTGGTTCTGTGGTGTGAAACAGGACAGCAGCTGTGTGGGTGCAAAGTATGAAGATCGGTACTTCCGTCCGTCAGTTAGCAGGTGTATGAAGTCTGCAGAGAGGATTTCTGCAGCACAAAGCAGCATCATTTTACAGATTTATTTACTGTATTTGAGGTTCACATGATTTGAACTTAAACACCTGCCCAACCTCCCCTTTGTCTCTGACCTTCTCAGATGTGGAGGAAGCCTTTGATTTCCCAGAAAGATTATGCTGGTATACCAGAGTAGCATGAGCTCTCAGCACTCTCAGCTCAAAACACCAGCTCAGACAATGTTGGCAGAGCTGGGATACTTTTTTTTTGAGTGGGTGAGTAAAAAAAGCTTTTGGGTGGACGTGTTCAAAGCTGTGATTGTCTGATTTAAATCTGGCAACACTGAGCTCAGGCAGCGTAGCATGAGGAGCCTTAATAACATAACTATGCAGATGAGATGAAGATAACAGCTGGGACAAAATATTTCCCTGCTGATCCATGAGGTACCTCAGCATGATGAAAGTCAAAACAGCGTGAATTGACTGAGCGTTTTGAATAGCTATCATTTTCAAAGTGTACTATTTTATGGCACCGATGTTCATTCCTGTTTCTAAGGACATTGTCAAACCAGCATTTACAACAGTGAAACATAAAGTTGCGCTGTCGGTGCTGACCTTTGAGGGAATAGAAAGCTGCAGAGCCCAAAATGGAGGAAGCTATTAGTTGTTCGTCCAATTTTTGTCATAGGATCCAGGGAGTACAAGGAATAGGCCTCCAATAAAGACAAGGGGAAAGAGCTAATTCAATTCAATAGTTTTAACAATAAATTAAAAAGGGGGCTTTAGTTAGTTCACCATGGTTCGAGTCCAGCCTGCGGCCCTTTGCTGCATGTCGTCCCCTCTCTCCCACATTTCTCTCTTCAGTTGTCCATCAACAATAAAGACAAAAGGCCTAAAAATACATTTAAAAACAACAATAAATAAATCAAAAGGGTAGACTGTCTTATGGCCAGGTAGACAGTCCATAAAAGGCAAAACAATTCCAAAGGGTGCAAGCACGAATCAGAATCCAACAAATAAGTTCAAACAAGTCCAAAACACAGGAAAAAGACTGGAACTCTTGACAAGACAAGGAGGAATGTCAACAGACAAGGGGAGCACACAGACTTATATACACAAGTGAGGGGAGGATAACTAGACACAGGTAAAGACAACACAAGGAGGTGAAGTAACACAAGACATATGAGGGAGAATGGTTTCAAATTAAAACAGAAAATAAAAAATAAAAAACTCAAACCTAAAACCATAACAATTTTATATGACCATTTGCTGCTGGAGTGTGAACTGTTCCACAGAAGGGGAATGGTCCGCAGTCAGTTGTGAGACAGGAGTCGCAAGGTACAAATACAACTCTTGAATAAACTATGTCATTGTCTGGTTAGTAGCGCGTATTCTGGTACTGGCTGTGGTTGATGACTTGTGCTAGCCTGTTACTGGTAACATGTCCAGCCACAGTAGCTCTCTACTAGTCTTTCGTGGTTTAGGGACCAGGTATTGACCTCAGGTCCGGTCTAGCCTCTATTTCACCAGCATTTGCAACTCTCTCTCTCTATCTACTTTCCATACTGTTACGGCTGCCAAGGGCAGGGTGTCACTGCTGCTGTGTTTCTCCCTACATGTGTTACACTGTGAGGCGGGGGATTGGCTGGTCTTCGGCAAGTCTGGCTGATCCCGCCTCCACATCCGACGATCCTGATTGGAGCGGCGCACCAACCCTTCTCCAATCGCCAAGCTGCCTGCAGGACCGCCTTCGTGCCTTCTCTCTCAAATAGGCTGGTCTGCTGCTGGGTCGAGGCAGCTACCATTTGCCATGTAGTTTGCCCCGACGCTGGTCCTAACTTTGAACTCTGTGTGTGCGTGTCCTCAGTGGAAACAACCATTTCTTTGTTTGTTAAATCTGTGTGTTACTGAGAGTTGGTAACTCACCTGGGCTGATCCCAGTATTGGTCTACAGAATTGGGCTAGGGGAAGCTCATCACTGATCACTCGCACCTGTTAGCAAATACTTGTGTTTGATACACTAGGTTTAGGGGTGCTGCGCTCCCTGTGTTTTGCTTTTGAACAATGGCTAGAGAGGTTTCGTTTATTCTTTTGCAAGTAGTTTAGTAATCCCTCATTTAGGAGGGATCTCTTTTTGTTATATTTGGTTCTTTGTTTTATGCAGCACCCAATTGCCCATTTTCTGTTTGACCTTTTGTCTGTACCAGACTGTTTAATAAATAATCTTTCCACCCATACCAAAACCATCTGGTTTATGTTTACGTCTCTCCTACCCCTAGAGAGTGGGGACGTAACACATACTCTTAAGACAAATCAGTTCCACTACAGCAGTTGCTATTAAAAATTAAAACCTCCATACAAACTTGACAGCACGGGTACTTACGTCATCATTACTTGGTTTCATCCATATCCCAAAAACTCACTTTTATGGTAATTTTTTAATCTCTGCTGTCTAAAAACTTGAACCTGAACTAACCACGACTTGTCATGGACTCGCATCTTCTTCCAAGCCTTGCCATTTAGCCAATGAACATGGGAAATGGTCTTCAACAAAGTCAGACAAAAACTTATATTTAATCCACCAACGATATCAGATCCGTTATAGACTTCATAATACAAGCTTACGTTCCTTCTCAGCCACTGCGCTCCTCCGAACACCGCCTGGCTCTGCCATCCCTTCACACAAAGCAATCTCAGTCCCTGTCCTCATCTGTGACACCACGATGGTGGAACGAGCTACCACATACCATCAGAGCAGTAGCGTCCCTCTCTAACTTCAAGAAGCTCCTGAAAACTCCTCAGAGAACACTACTTCTTATAACACCTCTCATCAACTGCCTTTGTGAATTTAAAAAATGGATGTCAAATAATTTCCTCCAGCTGAACTCAGACAAAACAGAAATCCTGGTCATCGGGTCCCAGCAGATGGCAAATCAAATACTGCCATCAGCTGGTTCCCTAGTAAATCACATTAAGCCTGTGGCAAAGAACCTTGGTGTTTGGTTTGATAGTAATTTAAATTTCGAGCAGCACACCACAAAGCTTGTTCAATCATGTTTTTATCAACTTAGAAATAGAGCAAAAATTCGATCTATGTTAACTTTTAAGGACACCGAGACCATTTTAACGCCTTCATCTCATCACGCCTGGATTATTGCAACAGCCTTTTCACCTGTTTAACCCAAAAATCTATTGATCGACTCCAGACTGTCCAGAACTCAGCTGCCAGGCTTTTAACCAGAACAAAGAAATATGACCACATTACTCCTATTTTAGCTTCATTACACTGGCTCCCAGTGTGTTTTAGAATTGAATTTAAAATTCTATTGATTACTTTTAAAGCTCTTCATGCCTCTCGCCTTGTTATATTTCTGAACTTTTAGTCCCATACACACCAGCACGTACCTTGAGATCCTCGGGCAGAGGTCTGTTGTCTGTTCCAGAGTCTCGACTGAAAACTAAAGGGGACAGAGCGTTTGCTGTCAGGGCCCCGAGGCTCTGGAACAGCCTGCCCGAGGAAATCAGGTCGGCTGAGTCAGTGAACTCTTTTAAGTCCCTTCTTAAAACATACTTTTATAGGAGAGCTTGTCCCGATCTTATTTGACTTTATGTTATCCCTTTTATTTTATTCTATTTTACTAATTTTATATTAATTTTTCATGCTCTTATTTTTTTTTGTATTATTCTTTACACTTGTTAAAGCACTTTGTAACTTGTTTTTGAAAAGTGCTCTACAAATAAGGATTATTATTATTATTATTATTATCTCTTTACAGTTGTCTTGTATTGATTGCACTATTTGTTAACTCTTACTTCTTCCCTGGGGATTTACCCCATTGATGCCACTGGTGCTATTAGCTCTTACTTGTATTTATTGCTGGTCTTGCTATCTATTGTCATTTGTATATCTCTTACTGTATTGATGCTTGTAAGTTGTTTCTCAGATGTAAGTCACTTTGGATAAAAGCGTCAGGCAAATACGTAAATGTAAATGTAAACAAGCCACATGACATACTGTTGACAAAGGCTCTGTTGGCTGGATTTTTTGTTTTTAGCGTAGTTACAAATGCCACTGGGATTTTATGCCTGGCACATATATGACAAGTTTAAATGACACTTTAAGAAAAAGTTAATGTCATGTTTATGTTTACTGTGTTAGTCCTCTTATGTGCGTATATTCCAATAACTGAGCACTCGAGTGTACTGTGTGTTTGTATGTGTGTGTGTGTTGTCAGGCTGAAGGGGGTCCTGGAGCAGATGGACCGAGGTGTCGTGGACCTGCAGGAACTCCGCAGGAACCTGGAGCTCGCTGCTGCGATGTTGGACGCTGTTTACACTGATGAGACCAAGTAAGATTGAAGAGACTGATGGGTGGGTGGATCAATAGATGGATAGGTGGGTGGATGGATGATGGATAGATTGATGGCAGGGTGGATGGATGGATGGATAATGTATAGGTGGGTGTATTGATGGTGGATGGATGATGGATAGATTGATGGCAGGGTGGATGGATGGATGGATAATGGATAGGTGGGTGGATGGATGATGGATAGATTGATGGGTGGATGGATGGATGGATGGATGGATAATGGATAGGTGGGTGGATGGATGGATGGATGGATGGATAGATTGGTGGATGGATGATTGGTTGGATGGATAGATGGGTGGATGATGGATGGTGATGGGTGGGTGGATAGATGTATAATGTATAGATGAATAGATGAATAGATGGATGGATGGTGGGTGGGTGGGTTGATGGATGGATGGTGGGTGGGTGGGTTGATGGATGGATGGATGGATGGGTGGGTAGATTGGTGGATAGATGGGTGGATGTTTGTAGCAATGATTGGATGAATGGATGGGTGGATGAATGATTGGATGGACGGATGGATAGATGGGTGGATGGATGGATGATGGATGAGTGGATAATGTATGGATGATGGATAGATTGATGGGTGGGTGGATGAATCGATAATGAAAAGATAAATGGATGGATGGATGATTGGATGATGAATAGATTGATGGGTGGGTGGATGGATCAATAATGGATATATGGGTAATGGATGGATGATTGGATGGGTGGGTGGATGACTGATGGATGAATAGATCCAACCTGTGACTGACTGTTCTCTCTGTTCTGTAGGCGTCTGTTGGACACTGAGGACGAGCTCAGCGACTTGCAGGCGGAGTCAGTGCCCAGCGAAGTACGTGATTGGCTGGCATGTACCTTCAGCAGAAAGATGGGCGTGGCCAAGCGTCGTCCTGAGGAGAAGCCGAGATTCAGGACCATTGTCCATGCAGTGCAAGCTGGGATATTTGTAGAGAGGTAAGAACAGTTCTGGCACCTGTTAATTAAATATAAAGTATTTGAAAGTAGATTTACAAACAAGCTACAACATCAACATTTATATTCAAATTATATTTCTACAACTTTTTGTCGAATGAAAATAAATCACATCTTTAACAAATGCTCACACTGTAACAAAAATAAAACAAGTGGTGTCTGATTTGCCAGTGGTGTCTGTGTGTGAAATCTATTACACAAACTCAAACATAGGTCTAAAGGTTTAACCACATACATGCTCAATAAATGTTTGATTTAACTAATTTGAATCACGGATGAATTAGCACTTAATTCTCTTCTTGTTGTTGAGGAAAAGGGACTGAAAAAACTTACTTTTACTTGTGCATATTTGTTGCAGAAAAGATTTTATGATGATAGTTTTGAATGTTCTATCTCAGATTTGTAAAGCGATCCACTGTTTGGCATTAAGTGTTTGTCCTGATCATAAAGAATAGTTATTCAAATTAGCCTTTAAACTTGAAAGAAATAAAGATTTGACATTTATGGTGAAAACTATCGATATTGAATGATATGACATTTTTTTATTGTGGTATCCAATATTTGTGCATTTGACTCATAACAGTTAGGCTTTATTTGCATTCAAATAGCACTGTAGCAGCAGGACAGAGGGTCAGTGACCTTCTACGGGGAGAGCAGTGATTGGTGGTTATGTAGGGACTGAACCCTTCTATAGAATTTGACCTCTAACCCCTTGTTTTGTTACCTCAGAATAGTAATGTACCCTTCTATGGGTCTGACCTTTTATTTTGCAGACTCAAACCCCTCTATGGTACCTAACAGATACCTAAACATATCCTATATAAGCTGGGTCACTCTCTAAGCTGCTGCAGAGCTTGTAATTGATGCTGAACTCCTTGATGTAATAAACTTTTATGATCAAGAACAGTGTCAAGCGGGTTTCCTCTGTTCCCTGTTATCATTATCATGATAACATTTTTGGCCATATTGCCCAGCCCTACTTTTTCCTGCTTAGGGTTCCTTTCTTCCAAATCATCAATTAATGTTGCAACATACAAATAGAGCTACAACCATAGGTGTCATTTACACTAGGGACGCTGGGGGAATGTCCCATCACTTTTTTTTACATAGCTAGCTTGCTAGCTAGATAGCTGATGTTGTCTGCACCACTTTTTTGAAAGTATTTGTTAAAAATGTTCTGAAAAATAGCTTGCAACAAGAAATGTTAAATAACAAATGCAAGTGCTATGAGAAAGGTTTTTTGGCACAATAAGAAAACATGCAACACAATGTAGATATAGAAAAAAATTGTCCAAAAAAATTACTTAAGCTAAGAAAAAAAAGACAGATTACTGCACTATATTCCATTATATTTTTATATTCTTAATTGTCACCGGCCACTGGGAATTTGTGCTCCCCTTCATATAAATAAAGACATTTCCACCATAAATTGGTGCACAAAATGTCTCCAGAATGCAGGAAATTAAGTGTCTAATGCTCAAAATCTTGAGGGGGATTTGAATCATGGAAAAATCCATCCATCCATCGTCAACCGCTTATCCTTACAGGGTCGTGGGGGGCTGGAGCCAATCCCAGCTGACATTGGGCGAAAGGCGGGGTACACCCTGGACAGGTCGCCAGTCCATCGCAGGGCATCAATGAATAATCATTTTACAGCATTAAAATATCTGTCTATATGTCTTGTTCTTGGGACCCCAGTATTCTGTATTGTCATGTCTCTGTTTTGTCACAACTCTAATCTGAGCCCTTAAATGTCCCCATCACTTTTCAACACAAAACTCAAATGATATTCAGTTTACTATCATATATGACAAAGTAAAGCATTGAATCTTCACATTTGAGAAGCTAAAACTAGGAAATATTTGGCATTTATTCTTGAAAAATACTTTCAGCTCAACACAGAAAGTTTTAGGTGCTTGTGTTCTTCATTGTTTTCCTGTTCAACATGACAGTGCCCCTGTGCACAAAGCAGAAGTTTTCCCATCCACCCATCTATCCACCAACTTATTAATGATAATAATAATAATAATAATAATACATTTATTTATAGAGCGCTTTCAATCAAAGAAAAATGTAACAGGACAAACATAAATAAAAATGAAACAGTGATAAAACATAACACACAAGGACATCAGAGATAAGCAAAGAATTTAGGACACAAATGCAGCAGTGAATAAGTAGGTCTTAAGCTTTGATTTAAAACCTCAGTCGAACATGCCGGTCTAATATCTGGTGGAAGACTCTTCCCTAGTGTTGGAGCGTGAAACGAAAAGGCTCGCTCACCTACCACTTTCTTCCTGACCTTAGGCACACTCAGAAGACCCGTCCCCTGAGAGCGCAGCAACCGTGTCAGATAGATAATGGTGCCATTCACTAGTTATATAACTTTAATTAACTTGTTTGCACATGTGTTAGAGGCAGAAAAAATGGGCAGTGTGAGGATTTGAGCATCTTTGACCAAAGGACCAAACTGTGATGGCTGGACGACTGGGTCAGAGCATCTCCAAAACGGTTTGCATGGGTCAGAACCAGAAGTGGTACAAGGAAGAAAAAGCTGTTAACTGGCGACAGGGTCATAGGCTGCCAATGCTCACTGATGCATGTGGGGAGTGAAGGCTGGCCCATGTGGTCTGATCCAACAAACGAGCTACTGTAGGTCAAATTGCTTAAAAAGTTATTGGTTCTGATAGAAAGGTGTCAGAACACACAGTGGAGTCCATGACCAGCAGATGGTCATAATGTTATGGGTGATCGGTGTCTGGCAGTAATGTCCACATACTTTAGGCCATGTATTGCATTATTAAAGTAATAATAAAGAAAAAAACTGCCACCTTTAAAGTCCAGTCAGATGAATGTCTCAAACTAAATAGCAACACTTTCAGATAGTTAGAGTTATTTTTGTATCCAGCACGAATCTGGAGCACCTGAAGACAGAACAGAAAAACAATCATCAACATAACATCAGAAAACATCCGGCCTGGACTTCGCCGCAGATGTGATTACAAGGTGGAACACGAAGTGTAATGATGTTAGCGTGCGATGGCTGGAGATGGAGATCATATAGAAGGGAAACCATGAAGTCCAACATCATTAGAGTGTGTCAATGACTCGCAGTGATAGAACGGTATCAGTTCATCTGCTTCAGCTTAATGACGCATGAAATAAAAATAAAAAGTATCTTCTGCACCGCGGCGGCACTTGCTGTGTGTGTGTGTGTGTGTGTTTAGAGCCCGGTTACCATGGCGACAAATAATCCAACCCGGTCACAAATTGTGGAGGAGGGCGGCTGGAGTGTTTGTATGCATGCAACTGTCTGTATCTCTGTGTGTGAGATTTGTGCATGATATTTTTATCTGTGTGTGACATCAGGATGTACAGACGGACATCCAACATGGCTGGTCTGAACTACCCTCCCACGGCTTTGACAGCTCTGAAGGTAAAAAACTGCAGTCCCATGTGAATGAAGTGACACATATTAAAACATTTTTTATTTATTTTACAAAAATCAAACCTTTTCAGTCAATTTGACTTGGGCAAGGTCAACGACCAACATAAAATAAAAAATGATAGAAGACTTTAAAAGTTATGGGGAGAGGAGATAAGAAAGGAAAGAGGAAGCAGAAAAGGAATGGAGGAGGTAGGGAGGGAAAAATAAAAAAGTAAAGGTTGGAGAACATAAGGTGGAGGAAGGGAAGGAAATAAGGAGATAGAAATGATAGGAGGAGATAGATAAATGTTGGAAGGAAAGAATGAAGCCGAAGAGGAAATAAAGTGAGATGGTAGGGAAGGAAAGGAGGAGGCGGAGAAAGAAAAATGTAGCCTCGTGGTGTTTCGACTGCAGGACTTCCTGAACAAACTCAGAAAAGGAAATGCAATTAAGCAATTATTGATCTGCAGCCATTTCTGCTTCTCTCAGGATGTAAAACACAAATTAAACAATAAATACATCAAACAATAACCTGCTGCTGAATCTGTGCTGTAATGTCCCACATTAGACATTATTCAGTGTTTGAAATGATGATGATGATGATGATGATGATGATGCCAAACCTGGGTCTTACTGGTTGTTTTCCAGAAAGTGGATCACTGGTCGTTTGATGTTTTTTCCTTCCACGAGGCCACCGGAGACCACGCCCTCAAGTTCCTGGTCTACGACCTGCTGACCCGCTATGACCTCATCAACAGGTTCAGGGTACACACAGCTTCATATCGTTAACACCTGTGGGTTGGGTGGGGCCTACTTTCTGGGTGGGTGGGGCCTAATGTCCAGGTGGGCAGGTCTCTTTATGAAAAGTTTCAGGGTGTGTGGGAACTTTTTTTATTCCCCAAAACCAACAATGAATTGCTAACATATGAAGCTACAGCTTCATAGCTTAGCTTAGACTGTAAACAGAGAAAAACAGCTAGAGTAGCTTTACGCAAAGCTAACAAAATACATCTACAAGCACCCCTAAAGCTCATTAATTAACACACTATATTAAGCTATATTAAGTTTAAGATAAATGTAGAGCTGGAGGAGGAGGCGATTCAATGTTAGTCAAAAAGCCAGGTACAGAAACTCTGGCAGTGATATGTGAAATAAGATCCTGGGGTATGTGCAAATCAACAGTAAAAAAAAAGGCAAAACCTTTAGTGAGTAGGTGTTTTTAAATGAGTGTAGTTTTTGTAGTACCTCTACAACCCGTACTACCTGTAGTACTGTGTTCAGATCCCGGTGCAGGCTCTGGTGCAGTTTGTTGAAGCTCTGGAAAACGGCTACAGCAAACACAGGAACCCCTACCACAACCTGATCCACGCCGCTGATGTCACCCAGACCGCCCACTTCCTGATGCTGCACACTGGACTCATGGTAACACACACACACACACACACACACACACACACACTGATGTCACTTGACTATGTTTACACTGCAGGCCTTATTGCTTAATTCTCATTCATTGCCCTGGTTTGATTTTTTCACAATAGTGTGAACTGTCCACGGTCTGAAATAATATGACATCGCACGTTCTTGTAAGGAAGTAAACATGGAGGCCACAGAGTTTAGCTTTTATGGTTTTATTTTTACATGGTTTTCAGGTGGGAGAAATGGAATTCGTGAGTTAATGATAAAGAGGATGAGAAGGGCTAGAAAGAGAGAAAGAGAGACACATTTTTTAATTATGGCTTTTTCTGGAGTGATTTATTTTCGGCTTTATTTGCACTAGCACAGATTGTGATGACGGCCGATATAGAGTGACATCAGAGTTGCAACTGTCCAGAGTGAGGTAGCGTTTTAAAAAAATCCAACTCTATCTGATTTGGACCATACATGATAGGCTACGTTCATATAGCAGGCCTTAATGCACGATTCAGATTTATTGCTCAAATTTATTTTATGTAGCCCATATCAGACTACAAATCTTCTGGTGGTCAGTCTGCTAGTGACGCCGTCGTACGGAAGTAAACATGGAGGCCACTTGGTATCCCAAACTCATTTACACAGAGACTCGTCTTATCTCGGTTTTCATTGCTCTCTTCTGGTTTCCTTCCCGGGTTCACAGTTCTCCCGACTTTTGACTAATGTTGACAACTTTCTGTCATTTTCCTTACATTCATTACTGTTTGACATTACAGCGCATATAAGCCCTTCAACTCTCTCCCTATACCGTTACCGCTCAGATAAGTAGCACTCACATTATGCAGAACTGTGACGATGGCCGCTCTAGAGTGACATCCGAGTTGCATAAATACAATCCAACTGTCCAGACTGAGGTCGCATTTCCAAACAGTCCGACCTGTCTCGGATTTGGACCACATATTAAAGTGGCCCAAATCCAAACTGGAAATGATTCTGTGTGACTTGGGCTGTTCATGCTGTGATAAACAAACCAATTTTGGACTGCAGTCTGCATGCACCCACAGTCTGTCTCACTGTCTGTACACTGTCTCTATGGACAGTCAAATTAGGGAATTAACCCACTGTGTGTGTGTGTGTGTGTGTGTGTGTGTGTGTGCAGCACTGGCTCAGCGAGCTGGAGATCCTTGCGATGGTTTTCGCTGCAGCAATTCACGACTTCGAACACACAGGAACCACCAATAACTTCCACATCCACACCAGGTAACGTAGGCAGCAATACATTATTCCATATTCTCTTCTCTGAGCATCTGTGGAATCTGATTGGACAGTGTGAGTTTTTGTTTCTCACAGATTGGGCCTGATAGGAAAGGTTTTTATAAGAATCAGTGTTGATGGTTTTTGAATTTAAATAAGGAAACCTGTAAGAGATTTATTTATTCATATGAAGAAGGCGTGATAAAACTGGTTACTTGCCAGCAACGGTTTTAGAACCACATGAATGTCATGACAGTATTTTGAATCCTGTGTTTGGTTTTGACTATTTGTTTATAGCTTAATAAATGTTTCATCCTAAATCTCTGTGCATGCCGACAACTCCCCGCCTAACCTCTGCCGGGTAAATGGAATATGTTTGCTTGGATTAGCGACTTCACTTCATCTTGTCTCTGCCACGGCCTCTTGATATGACAGTTTAATACCAGAAAAACAGGAGTTTACATTCATTCTAGGAACTCTAACTCTAAAAATTCTATTGTTTTAGAGCAAACGTCAAGGGGTCACTAAAGTCAGCAGGCTTGTCCTCAGGGCACAGGGACATCTGTACTAACTTTTATGGAAATCTGTCAAACAGTTGTTGAAATATTTCAGTGTGAACCACAGTGGTGGACGGGGCAACGCCGTCATCGGTATTTTCAGTCGCGCTGCTAAAATATTGATTTGACTGACTTTAAATGAATCTCTGCAGAACAACAAGAACATAAACATGACGCTGTTTGGACTTCTATATACGGTAGACGTCAGCTTCTAATTGGATGTTGTGCCTGTCAGGTCGGAGGTGGCCATCCTGTACAACGACAGGTCGGTGCTAGAGAACCATCACGTCAGCGCCGCCTACAGGCTGATGGCAGAGGAGGACATGAATATCCTGATCAACCTGAACAAGGACGACTGGAGGTGCACAGACACAGATCACACATAGCTGATAATCAACACTTAAAGAGCTGAGGGCTCCGTCATGGTGACTGATCACAAATTATCTTGATTGTGTGAATTGATTATTGGCAGGGAGCTGAGGGCTCTGGTGATAGAAATGGTGATGTCCACAGACATGTCCTGTCACTTCCAGCAGATCAAGACCATGAGGAATGCCCTGACACAGACACTCAGGTCAGTGCTGCCTCCGTGACCTCTGACCTCTGGGTCTTGTTTTAGCTACTTGCAGAACATTATAGTGGTGGTAACCAATTGATCCATGAATGAAGTGTTTTTGAATTTAAAGAAAAGTATAGTATAGTACAGTAGAAAAGTATTATTTCTTAGCGTGTCCAAATATTTTCTCAGTTTCTTGTTATAATGTGCATTTTTTTAAAAAGTATCTCTTTCATGTTTTTAAGGTCCCTTCTGCCGCATGGGACCTTAATTCGAAATAAATATAAATATGTCAATGGCGAGAGGCAACAATTTAATAGGATCCTGTTTGAATTGTGCCCTGAATTACAGACGTTTGTACGTTTAAAAGATAATTTTGTCCGTCAAGAAAGTCGCAGTTTTGTCGTAACACAGCAAAGTAACATTTGGTTTTGTGTGAAACTGCTCAGTGAACTACATCTCCCATCTCGCACAATCCAGTCCCTGCAGGATTTCTCAGGGCTTTGCTGTGATTGTTGCGGCCTAAAATGCCTGATTTTGCAGCAGATTTTCTAAAAGATTGCAATGAAAGTTGCGATGTTTTAGGCGCTTTCAACACACATAAATACCTTTACATAATTACATTTTGTTTAAAAAAGCAACATTAGATTTATGAGCCGACACGTTCTCACTCCCATCTCGTCACATATGGACGTTTGGTCAAGACCCCTCAAGCTTTGCTCTTTAAGCACTGGGCCCCCCTTTCAGGTTCAGGTTCTAATTCAGGTTACTTTATTTGTACCTGTAGCAAGATTTGTTTTGCAGTAGATGAGTCATCCTCACATTGTAGAAACACACAGAAACGCTTCTATCTGTGCAACTTGTTCTTCTGAGTGATAGCTGATGGAACAAAGTTATTTTTATACAGCTTTGTTCTGCACTTTGGGACTATAAACCTTCGTCTGGAAGGAAGAAGCTGAAATTCACTGTGCAGATGGTGGGAGTCATTTAAAATTGAACCTGTTATCCACTGTAGCTGTCTGGGGCACGGGGACGCTCGGTTAAGCCGTGACTCACCAATCAGCCTACAGGACCATATCACAATTTGATTCAGAGTGTTTCTGTTCTCTAAGGATTTGTTTCCAAACCATGACACTAAAGAAAAAGACAAAATTGAAAAACTTTTGCACATGTTGTGCGCCGCGGTCAAGTTAGCAATAATAAATATGCAACATCCATTTAGAACTTTAAAATAAAGGATGTGGGTAACCTTGTTGACTGGTCACAGTTTGGTTAGCTGGGTTTAGGAAAAGATAATGGCTTGGTTAAAATAAGTACTTTAGTTATGTACAGTTAAGTTACATTACTCACTGAAGTTACTGTTGTTGTTAGCGTCAGTGGGCACCCAGAGATAGAAAAGTAAGCGAGGAAGTAGAACTAAGTTCAGAAAAGATGTATCTTTTACTTGATTCCAGCTATCTTGTACTTTACTGTAAACAAATCAACATAGCACAGGCCCGCTTGATCCAAACTCCATTCAGAAAACACACAGTGTAAGTTGTTTGTCCTGCTGTGTTGCTGACAGACCTGACAAAGCATGAATTCTTACGTTTAACAAATCGGCATCATGTTGTAGTTATTTCGGCATTCTTTTGATTCGTTTATTGCAACTAAATCACAGCAAAATGTTTACTTTGGTTTCATACCGCTGCAGTAATCATCGCATTGTGTGTGAACACTTGGCGAGTAGTCCAATGATATAACTTGTGCGAGAAAAGAAAATTAAATTTTTGGTCTGAATGCAGAGTAAGTTAAAAAGAATGAGTGCGATCGGGTTGCATTAGCCGCTTCATAAAGACCTGAACAGTCGAACAGTTCTGTGAGACTGTGTGTGGCTGAAGACGACCAGATCATCAGTGGGAGTTTGGTGAAATGTCCAACATAAGGTCCTGCAGGCTGCTGAACCTGTAGGGGCTCTCACAGGAATAGCACAGAGTCTGACCAGAGTCCAGCTTCCCTTCTCTGTTTGTCTGTCCTGCTGGAGTGGAGGTGTGTGGGGGGGCAGCTGTCACGCCTCTCAGCTCACGCTCGGTTGAGGTTCCCAGGGAAAGATGCTGTCATCAGCCTGTCGACATGCTGGTTCTGCTTGTGTTACTTCGGCAGCAGCAGCTGTCTGCACGCTATGATCAAAATACAAAATAAAAGACAGAATGATGCTCACCTAACGTCCAGGAGACTGCAGCAGAGCAGTGCAGAATTCACAAAACCACTTTATGCTAATACAAAGACTTTTTCCCCTGTAAAACTCATCAGACATGTTGTTTTTCTTTCTTTACTCAGTTAGTTACTATTTATTGGCTTTTAAATGACTTTTAAATTAAATTATTGCTGCTTTCTTCCTCTCCAGTATAGACAAAGTGAAGGTCTTGTCTCTGATGCTTCACGCTGCAGACATCAGTCATCCAGCCAAAGCCTGGCCGCTGCATTACCGCTGGACTCACAGTCTGATGGAAGAGTTCTTCAGACAGGTAAACACATCTTTGTTCCTCTATCCTCGTGGGGACATCTCTCATTGAATGCATTCCCTGGCCCCTTACCCTAACCTTAACCAGCACAACTACATGCATAACCTTAACCCAATCCCCGTTTTCACCCTCAAACAGCTCTTTAAACTTGTGTGGTCCAGCATTTTGGTCCTCAAGAACTATATTAATTATTTCAATTATCTTTTCAACTGTTAACCATTTTCAAATGTTTAAACCTGGTTAACCTTAAAGCAGTACTCAACACTGACTACTGTCAAACGCCTTCATCACATGAATTAAGATTAGAATGATTTAATTTTGAAGAACAGCCACCACAAAGTCAGTCTACAAACTACTGGCTATGCACCAAGCCAATTTATGGAGCTAAAATACGTCTTCACTACACATTAGAAGCATGGTGTGGCAAGTCTTCCCTACTTCATTTAATATAACTGCTTGCAGTTACTGTAGGCTACATGCCTGCAGATGTTTCCAGGTTGGACGTGTCCAGGTTGGACAAGGACATTTTTGACGTTGACAGCTGGCAAAGATATTTTGCATTGCACTGTTATGTTCAAATGTCTTTTCTGATTTCTGTCTCTGAAATGTGTTTTACATTTCCAGCTCTGGAATGCGTTTTTATCTGTAGACATAGTGACAACTATACAGCTTGAGAGGAAATGTAACCCTGGACTCATCCTTTACGGCTGTGCCGCAGTTGCCAGAGCTAATTGCGGCCATGCTAGTCAGTGCTTGTGCTCACCTGAAGAGCTGCAGTGCGTCCCAGACGCGACTCTCTGCTCCACAGAGAATACGCAGCGAGTCTATTTTTGACGGAAGCCGCGCCAAGCAGCGCAGAGCAGATGACCCGGCAACGGCATAGAGAATCTGGTCGATTTTCAAAATAAAACACCTTGTGCTGACTCCAGATCATATATCAACAATAAACACACTTAAAACAGACTCAACTTAACCAAAATCAATGACAACTGCAAAATGCTCTTATTCTGAAGGGCTCCATGTGGGACACAAAGCCCTGCAGAGAACTGAACAAAACTGGTTCACAGTGAGCTGTGATCTGTAGTATAAAGCACAATAAAGGCCAAATAAACATCAAGTCAACACTGTGGGGCAGGCTAAACGCTTCACAGCTGAACCGCTGCTCAAACTCTTCCAGTGTGAGTTGACAACAGGCAGAGGACAAAACTGCAGCGCAGCTGTAACAAATGGCCGGAAGACATTGTGCACATGTAAAACTTGCAAAGCAACAAAAAAAGTATTATTCAACATTTTGCTGAGCTTTTTACAGAAAATATATTCAGATGTAACCTCCAATGTAATCATGAACATTTTCATTAGTAACTGTAACGGATTACAGTTATGTGTATTTTGTAATTGTTTATAATTACAAATTCCAATTACTTCCAATTATAGCTCAGCAACAGTAAGTCACATGTCTGTCAGGCTTTGGATTCCTCCATGTATTTTAAAATGCTGTAGTAGGAGAGATAATGGAGTTTTGTCTTTCCGAAACCAAAAAAACAGCAAAAGTGTCAGAACGCCCAAACCCCTCTTTCTGTTTGAATTCACACTGTGCTGAGTTTAGTTTGCTCAAATTGCACTAAATGGATGTAAATACCACACAGAGTTGATTTGAGTACTTACAAAACACACACACACACACACACACACACACACACCTTGTTCATGTTGTGTCTTTTGCAGGGAGATAAAGAGGTGGAACTTGGCCTTCCCTTTTCTCCTCTCTGTGACCGGAAAGCCACCATGATTGCCCAATCACAGATAGGTAAGAACTACCATCAACCAGTAATACCTAAGGACAACAGGCAGGTGAGGAGTACCAATAAATAGGCACAGATACCAGGACTTTACCATGAACTGCTGAGTGGAGGCTGACAGTGGACATTAACTTTGGTTCAACAGTGACACCTGCTGGTGGTTTGAAGAGCTGAACTCTGAGAGTCTGATTATTAAATTATATAAAAAGAAGGAACTGGTGTTGATCACTTATACTCTCTTTATATTCTTTCATCCTCCCACCTTCCCTTCTGCCCTCTGTCCATCCCGTCTGCCCGTCTCTCTGTCTGGTTGCAGGTTTCATCGACTTCATCGTGGAGCCGACTTTCAGCGGCCTGATTGACACAACAGAGAAGGTGATTGGTCCTCTGATAGAAGAGGACAGGAAGGCCAGAGAGACCGGAAACAGAAGGTCCAGGTACTACTACTACAACGGATTTAGGGGGAAGTGATTGCAACATATAAGTAATCACAGTTCTGGTATGGCCTGAGAAATACTTTCTCCACAAGTGTAATAGTAAAGTGTTGAAAATCGGTTCTGAACTGGATCTGGTTCCACTGTAAAGAGTTGGATGGATATGAAACTCTCCTCATGTTTTCTCCCAGATACTGATTCGACACTCCAGTACTCTTTTGTTTTTCCTGCAAACTGATTAAGATAGATGTGAGCAAATATGATGCTGTAGCTGCTGATCACCTATAAGTAGAGGTATTCATGCACCAACATGCTTTTTAAAAGGCTTGTAAAAATGTTATATATATAAATAAATAGCTGAGTTTTCCCTACCAGTCAGTCAGAACTGAAGAAGTCCCTTGGATGAGGGACGAACGTCTTCTAGTATCTTCAACCAAGTCCGGTTGCCCTTGATTTTAACCTTCTTTGGAAAACTGGAGGACATAAGGCAACTACAACTCCCTTTGGAGGAACAAGATCCTCCACTGGGACACCCCAGCCACAAACTGTCTGTCTGCTGCTGTCTAGCAGTTGGTGCTGCAGACCCAGGATCAGAAAGAGCTTCATCTCACAGTCTTTATATCTCTTAAGCTCATCACTGTGACACTTTACTTGCACTGCAACTTACCTGTATATTACTAGGGCTGCAACTAACGATGATTTTAGTATTCAAAGCTTCTATAGATTATTTCAACGATTCATCGATGCATCGTTTAAGAAGTACTTTTGCTTGGCGGGGGCTTCCCCGGTAACGGGATCAGCTGTGCACGTTAATAGGTGATAGATATTTATTAGTCCTTTCGGAAATTTATAGTGTGTCATACAGCAAATATCAGACCAACAACCAGACAGCTGCTTTACAAACACAAACATCACCCGAGTGCTACAAGTTATAGTAAAGGCTCATGCAGACTACACGACGTAGGCCGATGGCCGTGCAGTTCACACAACTTGCCATAATATGACGGCAGTCTTGAAGTCGTTGTGGCGTTCACACTACGTGACTGATCGGTGACAGAGACACACACAGTACAGGAGCTGACAAAACCTATGGCACCCGACGCTGGTCTCCAAACCACTTTTGTCAAGAAAACACACGTGAAATGTGAAACGGGAAATGAGCGATCCTGCACACAAAGCAGCTGTTTGTTATTATAAAGACGGCAATTATAAAGACAGAATCTGGGTGAAGGATGGATTAGCAGACGCAGGTAGCAGGGATTGTCTGAGCTACAGAGAGAGCTGCAGGGGAGATAAAAGGTGCAGCTCCCCGACACCCAGTTAACGAATGACTGTGAGGTTACAGCTCACGGCCCAAAAAGGAGAACAAACAATTTTCAGCTGAGGACTGTGGCTTACTTTGGCAATCAGGATTTCAGTTAAATGCTAAAGTTGCTGTTACTGTTGTCTGTGGTCCGCTGGCAGAACACTGGCTGCTTTCTGATCAGGTGCCGTTGTGCTGTTGCAGAGGCAACAAAAGTTTCATTTTACGGTGGACGGACGGTAACATTACAGAGTTGTTGTTTTCTTTAGCTTGAAATAATCCCATACTCGACACTTTCTTCTTCGTCCCTCGCTGTTTTCTCTCTCTTCCTCCACTTTGCAAACAGCTCCATCATAATCACGTTGTGTTCACAGCGTAAGCTGTAATAAATGTCCGTGCGAAACAGTGTGCTATATAGTTATATGGATTAAACAAAGCCTCAGTGCAAAGAATTTGTGTTGAAGCATTTTATGAATCGATTTTATCGATTTAATCAATGAACCGTTTCAGCCCTATATATTACTAATGTAAACCTGTTCGCATTTCTGTGTATATACTGTATTTATATATAATGTACAGTATGTGTGTGTGCCTGACTGCTTCACTGCAACCGTCGTAATATGACAACCAAATCAATTTATATGATTTTCCTAGTTGTTCGAGATCATCTTATATGATTGGACAGAATTTGGAACATGTGACTCTTACAGTACTGTGGGACTCCGTTGGTTCTGAACTTGTCCATAACTCTGTTACAGTCTAACAGGAAGTGGTTCAGTTACCGTGGAGTCGGTGCAGAGACACAGCAATGGCCGCTACGGGAACAGTGATGATGGACAGATGGACTTTTCCCTGACGGCCATTGACCTGCCGGCTCTGAGGCTCCACCTATCCGGCGTCATCGCCAGCAACAAGGACAGATGGAAAGAGCTGTCTGTGCACGGTACACACACACACACACACACACACACACATAGACCATAGATCCAGCTGATGTGGGGTGAGCGTTCTGGTGTTAAATGGCTGCCGTGCATCACCCAGGTGGGTGGTTGAGGTGAGGCCCCCCCCACTTCACTGTGAAGCGCTATGAGTTTCAATGATAAAGCGCTATATAAATGTAATGCATTATTATTATTATTAGTTAAAGGTACAGGTATGTTAGTTATGCATGTTTTGGTGCCATGCTAAAACATTTTTAAAATATGTTCTTTATCATGTTTTCTGTAACTTAACTGTTCTTGTTTGTCTATTGTGCACAGAGCTGGCCAATAAGGTGCAAGAGGAACAAGACGAAGCAGAATCTAATCTCAGCTCAGACATCCAATCACATTCGTCACCCAATCACAGCGTCCCTGAGGGACACACGTCTGACCAATCACAGAACTCAGGCGCCTTCCCTCCTGATGACACACATGACGACAAGTCACCCGACCATCTGCCTGCAGATCACCTGACCTGGAACGGTAGGAACACGACATCATACGGCAATGTTTGCTAAACTTTTAACTCTCAGCGAGATGACCTGTTGCTGTGGTAACCATTGCAGGGGCGGGGCCAGGGGAAGAGAAGGATGATGATGAAGTGCCTGAAAACGTCTGATGATGCTCCACGGCATCCGACTGTGGCATATCACCATGGCAACAGGCGGCGCGGTGCGGTGACAAGAGTTCAGACTCTTCTGTTTAAACACAGCAGCTGACTCAATGGCCCCTCAGTGGCCCTCAAAGGGCCACCACACCTTATGTTTACAACCGACCATGAAAAAGTGACAACATTTATCAGAAATCAGCCTCTTAGCAGCTTCATGGTCCATTCACAGTGGTGACAGTGTTTTGTGATTTTATTAGCGACTCAGAGGAATAATGTCTGTGAAATAAGTGGAAATATCAAAAGTCAAATAAGAATAAAGACAAGTGAACCAGTGAAACCAAAGAGCGTTTACAGTGGCTGAACCATTTGTGGCTAAGGCTGGATTAATGTCAGTTATCTGGAAGAACGAGACATGGAGCTGTTAAGAAGCGGATGTGGAGGTTTTTGTGAATGAAGACCAGTTTTTATATGTTGGGAGTGTGAAGAGAGATTTCTGCTCTGTTCTGGGTTCAGATGATCAAGCATGTTGTGCTTCTGTCCTTGCCTCAATATGTGATTTGCTGTCAAAGAGTAGCCAATAGCTGAGCTGTTGTTAGCCACGCTAGCATGGCGTTGGCCTGTGTTTTCCTCTACGACCACCAAGATGTTGTTTTTCCTCTGGAAGTTGCTGAGACATAACGCTCAAAGCCACGATGATTGATTTGCAGCCTTTAATTGTGCAAACAGACCGTGTTTTCATCAGATTCAAAAAATGTCTCAACTACTTTTGGATGGATGCCATTCAATTCAGTTTCATTTACCATAAAACATCCCGGGATTTTTTTTTCTTCAATCCCTGAACTCAGCCTGCCTATATTTGAGACAGGCCTTTTATTATAATAGGCTGCCATCAATTTCCTTGTAAAAAAATTACAGTATAGGATAATTTAATTCATTTGATTTAGCTTTAAGAGATCGATCTCATTCACAGGGAGAGAGAGAGAGACTACTAGAAAGGATGAAAGCCGAAGGTAACTATAGTTATTTTAACTTGAAAAACTGCTTTTGATCAGTGAACCCTTACAGACAAAGGAATATAAATAATTAAGGAATGGACATATATTCTGACTTTTTGACCCTTTTAAAGGTTGGGAATCACCACTTCTTTTTCATCTTGTTTCCCATATCATGCCAGTAAATCTGAATGAATTATACTTTGGAGCTCATTGTTTTTTTTAAAATAAAGTCAACGATTGAACTGTGGAGAATCTATTCAATCTAACAATGTGTAGCATGTCCATACTGACAAACGTTTAAACATTTATAGTTGTATGAGAGATCTACCAGCTTAGAACTAGCTCAAGAGCGCGACCAATTGGACTTTTAGAGGCTTTATACTCCCATAGAATTAATATAAAAACCAGACCAGGCATCTAATTAGCTTTAACTAGGCTTTTAATTGAAGTTTTACAGTATATAGCGCCAAATCTCAATAAAGGTTATCTCATTGCACTTTTCATATAGAGCACATCTAGGCTGTAATATTCTTTATAGAGACCCAACAGTTTCCACCGTGAGCAAGCACTTGGCCACAGTGGCAAGAAAACCTCCCTTTTAAACAGGCAGAAACCTTGAGCAAAACCTGACATTTGTTTCAAGAATTCATGTCCCCCTTAAGGATGAATTTGATAACTTTGGTGATCCTTTAGCTTTTCGTCTAGCACCATCATCAGGGCAAAATTGTGTCCAAATACCTTTGTTCATGACTAAATACCTACAAAACTAATGACATTCCCATCAGGCTCAGCTGTACTGTGTGCTTAGTGCTAAAAATGCTTAACTAAGATGGTAAAAATTATATACCTGCTAAACATCAGCATGTTAGCTTGACTATTGTGAACATGTTAGCATGTTGATTTTAGCATCTAGCTCAAAGCACTGCTGTACAGTACAGGCTCACATAGCTGCTAGCATGGCTGTTGACTCATAGTGTTGTTACTTGATTGGTTGCTTAAGAAGATAAGAAAAACCTTTATTTGAGACAGAGCAGCTAGCATGGCTGTAGACTCATAGTGTTGTTGTTACTTGATTGGTTGCTTATTTATATTTTGTTTTCTAAGATGGTAGAGTAAAACTGGCACTTTTTTGCTGTACAATCCTAAATGTGTGTTCAGACTGAATGCAAAGCAACTTTCGGAATCTGTGCAAGAAAGTCAATCAGAAGATGAGAGGGCCAGCAACTCACTCACTCAAGGTGATGCAAACTCATGTGCAAGTTGAAAAGGTTTCAGCGACAACGCTATGCTGTCACCCCGAGGTGTGCATGACGCAGCTTCATGACCGTTAAGTTACACTAGAAAAAGAAACCCTGAGTATAATTGGCTCAATTTGCACCCTTCTAAACTCACACTTGCTGTTTTGAATGTATAAGTAGGTTCACACTGATAATTATGGCAAAATACAGTGCACTATGAGTACGCGCATGGTACGTTCATAATGGTCAAAAGGTTGAGTTTGGAATGCTGGGTCACCCAACTCAACAGTCACCATCTTGGCCACATTGCGGCAGGGGAGGGACCACAAACTTTGTGAAAATGGCGGCTTGGGAAGCTGCAGCGGTTCCAAGTAGAAGTAAAAGTATGTTTATTTTTAAATAGAATTGAATTTAAGTCAAATGACCAAACAAATGATGGCGATAATGATCTGCCGGGTTACAATTCACCATTAAAAAGAAGAAGAAGTGACTTGAGACTGGTTCAGAACCAAGCGGTGCACGGGGCGCCCATAAAGGTGTGTTCAGATTGTAAAAAATTTGTCTTGTTTTATTTGCACAAGTGAAAATGGCCGACGTACAGTGCTAGCTGTGGCTTGTTAGCTAGCTAGCAATATGTACCAAGTGTATGTGTTGAGTGACTCAGCAAAGTTCATCAGTGCGTCCTTTTAAAGAAAAGGTGATGCTAGAAGCCTGATGACGTGGTGACGATTTGCAGTGCTAGTTGGTGAAATACTACAGCTGGCGAGTGAACCCATTAACATAAACTAGCTAGCCAGTAACAGTCAGTAACAATAGCTTTTTAAAGACAGTAAAATAAAAACTACATTTCCCAAGTTCTCCTCATGTCTCCTTGTTTTAATTCAGTATTTTTACATGAAAACTACTCTTTTCTCTTCCTGTAAAACATGTTTTTGATTACTCGGCCTGAACTTGGGAGCCAATCAATTATGGTTTTGGGCAACAAGCTAATCCTACCAATCAGCTAGCAATCAAAGAAGTCATTATAGTAGAGGTGTGTGTTTGAATATCGATGGGCGAAAACATTGTTTACGTTTTAATTTCTTAATTATTCCCGTTTTCTCCTCTAACAACATGGGTGAAGGAAGTTTTTTGGAACCCGATGTGACCACATTCAGACAAAAAAGTGGAACTAGCTAGATTGGCATCCCCTGCTTTCTGGTCTATTTTCCTCTAAATGGGACTATAATTTACTAAATGAAAAGTGTTTACTGAGGTAGTAATAAGTCAGCTGAGAAGTAGCCTCATTTTCTCATAGACTTCTATACAATCACACTTCTTTCTGCAGCCAGTGGAGTCGCCCCCTGCTGGCCGTTAGAGAGAATGCAGGTTTAAGGCACTTCAGTATTTGCTTCACTTTTAAGACCCACTTGTGTCAAATTGACCCAGCCTGTACCTGCTGTGACATCACTGGTTAGGGCGTGGCCAGTGGTTAAACGTGTTTGACAGTTTGAACCCACAGAGAACAGCAGCAGTGAATCAGTGTGGATTTCTAACCTTTTAAATGGGAAGTCAAAGACACGCCAGAGTTTATTTGTGACCACTTGTAAAGGAACTTTTTTTGCAACATGGCTCATCTTGTTGTACTTTTGGCCAATATACCCGTAGGTTCGCGTAACATTGTACTCTCCAACATCATTGTAGAAAGTGTGGACATGGAGTTGAGATTGTCAGAGAATTTTCCTTTAAATGGACAGGAGCTTTCTGTACTTATTACTACTGGTTATAAAACCACGTTACATCACTCCTTCTGACAGTGAATTAAAAACAGTGCCATCCGTAAGATCAACACGGTGACAAGGGCAATAGAAACACCAGTTTCTATAGCAGTGGCCAATGAGCTGATGGGATGGAGCCAACATGGCCGACTGTAAAAAGCTCCTCTGAACACTGTGTTCATGCAATGTGTGGTATAATCATCATGTGCTCTTTGGCTGTGTGAGTGTGTATGAGTGTGTGTGTGTGTGTATGTGTGTGTGTGTATGTGTGTGTGTGTACAATGTATACTGTAAAACTGTTTTCTGTATTATTGTATTAAACATCGAGAACTCAAGTTCCCTCCTGTTTATCATTTTGTTCAAGCAAGGGCTGATTTTTCATTTCCACTGTTGGACCCTAGAACTAGAGCTGTCGACCGTTTGTGTACCAAATACATTGAAAAGATTCTGATGGAATTATTGCTAGGGACAGTTCAGTAGTCGACTTGACTTGACTACTAAATTGTGCACCCTTGTATTCATGTCGTGGTTCTTGCATGTGATGATGCGGGAAGTTACGCGTTAAAGAGCACATGCAATTGATTGATTTGATTTTCTTCTGATTCAACACCCCCCAAAAACTGAAATCCAAGTAAAAAAACTGAAACATGGATAAAAAACAGAAATCTAAAATATTTATTAGAAACACAAATTTAGAAGAAAAAAAAACTATGTTAAAATGTTGAAACCTTTGAAAATTTTTAAATGTGGGTAAAAACCAACCAGGGAATTGTTTTGCAATGTGAAAAATTCAGAAATAAAACTGTAACTGACTCCCAAACAACTTCCTCCTCCTCAAAATATTAGTCATACAGAGGTTTGAAATATTGTTCCTCCTGACAGACATGACACAGACAATAACTATTTCTACTATAACAAGTATATATACAATTTTATTTTTTACTGCTATTTACTATATATATATAGTTATTTAATATTAATTTATTAAATATTAATTTATTAATAGCACAAAGACCAGATAAAACAAAAGTATATAAAGGCAGACATAGCAACTACAAACATGAATGTGTCATTTTTTACCCGTGTTGTGCATTAGAAGGGTTATGATCCAAAAATTATTTTAATTCAAAATGTAAGAAAGGAAAAATGAAAATAATGATTTGTGGTGAGCAAAAACAAGTTAATTGAGGAAGACCTGAAATACTGAATGATGGAATTCATACATTCAAAGATAAAGAAACTAAAAACTCATGTGGGTCACTTTGACCCATGATGTTCTTCAAACGGTTCACCTAAAAGTGTTCAACTGCAAATCAAATTTGCAATCTGGTGCACTACATTTAAGGTGACAGTAAGTGGCAGTGTTTAAACGGGAGTAGAAAACCTTCTGGTTCCTCTTTCTGTGGCTGCACTGTAAATACACACCACTAGAGAGCAACAGATAGGTATTTTCAGATACAAGCAGATCCAGAGTTCAACATGTTGAAGAAAAAAAGAGATATTTTTAAGTCATCTTTTATAGGTTGGTTTTGGATAAAGTCTGAAAACCAAGTTAAGCAATTTTTAAAGGCACCATCATTCCTAACCATAAAGATATACATGTATATATCACATGTAAGAGAGAGAGATAGAGACTTTATTATTGCCAACAGTGTCGGTGGTAATTGTTTTGGTATAGCAAGGTAGTTCAGTTAAAGTTAAATTTGGATCAAAGTTTAGGTGATATAAGTATGGCCAATACATGTGCAGGAGATGAGTTTATTATTCCTATCACAACCTTATTAAAGGCTACAGGGATATTGTTGTCTCCAGAGCCCGAACTCTGCTGCTGCTGCTATTTATTCACTGATTAGTCCAGAAGTGTCTTCACTCCGCTCTTGATTAACAGCAACAGCAGTAACACAAGAAAAGACGAAGCACGATCTTTTCTCTTCAGTCCAGACCTGTGAAGCAGCTGTTATTACAAGGGGAACCCTGAAATGAAGTTCACCTGTGATGAGATGTACAACGATCATTATTGTATAACAGAATATTTCATCAACAGCGACAGTAACAGTCAGGAAACCTGTTGAAAGATGCAACAAAAGATCCTGTGCTTACATTTAATACACTTCTACGCTGCCCAGAGGTTTTTTTTGAAGGGGCAATCAGCTGATTTTTACACATGAAAATCACTTGTATGAAGATCTCTCTTTGTGAAAACAGTTAGAAGATGTCTCCTGTGGCTTTAGGGGAGTGTTAGAGACGACAATAACAAAGTTTAAAGCTGCACTAGTCAATATTTTACATTAATTATAAATCACATAACTACTAACTACTATCTGAAAGGGGTCATTCATAGCGACGCAGTGAGGACGGTCACAGGACTCTGCAGCTCCTCTTGGTTCTAAGGTGTGTTTTAAGATCGTTCAGCTCATTGTTTTGGGTTTACAGCTGCAGCGTTAATGTTTTGGGTCACAATCACTGATCTCAATGTCATTTCTGGCCTGTTCTCAGATAAGAGGCTGTAAAGAGCATTTAGTAGCTAAAGAGCCAGATATTTCTATCAGGGGCTGTTAGAGACCAAACACAGAGCTAATACTGGACTCACATTCATCAGGTGGCCACTTCATCACAGCGCTGACACAAACACACTCACATTCACACGTAGGGGCAATTTACAGTTTTGCATGTCTTTGGACAGCAGGAGAGAACATGCAAACTCCATACAGAAACGTGTTAGGATGAAACCCAGGACCTTCTTGCTGTGAGCTATCCACTGGGCTACCGCACCACCTGATATATATATATATATATATTATACATATCTCAGGTGATAATATGCTTGCTTCTGCTGCCCCTAGGTGGCAACAAATCTGTTATTGCAGGTTTAAAGCCCTCATTTGAAGAATCATCTTTCAAATTGTTCTAATGGCAGAAGTTTTTCTCATTAAAAATTGAGACCCAGTAACAGTAACCTGTCTCTGTGGTGCAATTGGTCAGCACCATGGGTGTAAATTTCATCTCACAGTAGGGGGGGACAATAAACATAAAATTTCTCAAGAGCAATTTTTGAAGGGGAAACAAATAATACAGCAAAAATTGTACTTGTAGGCCTATAGGATACATGCACACAGAGAGAAGTCTCAATACTATTTTTCTGGCCAACAACACAAAGCAATAGTTGTTTAAATATGACTTAAGTTCATAGGTTCACCGCCAAATAACTTGTGTTCTCTAGGCTACATAGTAATTTAGGTTTCTTCTGGGACAGAGGATGTCTCTTACACACACACACACACACATATATATATATATATATATATATATATATATATATATATAGAGAGAGAGAGAGAGAGAGAGAGAGAGAGAGAGAGAGATTTATTAGATATTTAATGGTAGCAGGCCAACTGATCTACCATGTAACATCATAATGTGCAAAAGGTCTGACCTGCCAAATCTAATTTTGGCCGATTCAGATTTTAATTCTTTCTAAGATCTATAACTGACAGCATACCCAAACATTTGTGTAACTATTTATTGGGAAAATCTATTTTTATTATGATCCCCATCAGCACCAGTATAAATGTTGGCTATTCTCACTAGGGTCCATTCAATTGTCTGTCTGCTCTGACTTTATTTGTCAGCAGTTTTATTTGAAAGAACTCGCGTTTGGTTTTTCAACCGCGATTCCGTTTTCACAGCAGCACGTGAGCCGCATGTGGAGGAGGCATTATTGTGCATGTGCAACACGGCGCAGCGCAGCCTGTTTGTAACATTCAATGTGACCGACAGAAAATTGGATATTTGACACTGCTCGGCCCCGGTCACTGGACGGTCACTGGACGGAACCGAGTAAACGAAAACAAACGGCCTATTTCCATCCCCAGCTGATCAATCTGCACATCTCTAGCTGTACAAGATGAGTTCGGCCCAACAAGCTACCAAATAAGCTAAGTAATGTTTTAATAACAGAGTGGGCTCATAGAAAAATAATCAGTTATCATAACATTTAGTCATGATTAATTTATTAATGACTCAGCATCATCTGTATTAAAGACAAAAGAATCATTTCATCCAATGTTTAAAGTGGATAAAACAGCCCCGCCAGCCTGCTTAACATTACTGGAGCTCCACAACTACTGACGGATTTGAACTGGTTTTCTGCCACTGGACTCCTGTGAGAGGGAAAGCAGGCAGTGGACCAAACCACTGTGAGGCACGAGAGGGGGGACTCAAAATGTTTCTTAACTTAAAAAGGTTCATGCCTCAGTGATTCCGCCTAAGGTCAGTTTGTTCGGCTGTTAACCGAGAGGTTGGTGGTTTGAGCCCACCTTGGGACGATAAGTGTTCAGCAAGGGGTTGCATTAGTCACTGTACCCAAATGAGGATGGGTTTATTGCAGAGAACTAACAAACAATAGCAGAGTGTTCATAAATAAAGTTGATTGATTAGTGGACATCTCCACACAAATGTCTGTAATTATTAAGACTTTTGGTAACAAAGCTCCCTATATACTAAAGCTCCTAATTAGATCATTTATATGACTTAATGATGTATTTCACAATAAGCAGGGTGTCACTCTTAGTTTAACAGACGTCCACCTGAATCCTCCTATTGTCCCCAACTGACGTCTGAGACTAAGTTTCTCTTTCTGAGTTCAGAGGGTCAAACGTGCTTGACACAGCGGCAGCCTGTGAAGTCTGGCCAACCTCGTTATAATTAAGACTATAATTCTGATTGACAGCGTTTGCCTGCAGACTCAGGCCTGTGTCAGCAGCTGGAGAAGGCTTCACCTCTGCCAACTTAATTACCTCAAAGTGGCACGGCCCTGATCAGAGGCCGAGCCTCAGATCACTTCTTTTGTTTACTGTATGCTTTGGCGTACATCTGGCATGTTGATTGATTGTATTGATCCCAGTGTGGAAATCAGGTTAATGCAGCAGCAAACAGGAATACAGCTCAGGGAAACACAAGCATCACTTGGCAGCTGATTAAGTGCACCTAGCTGAAACTAATGCAGTGTAATACAGCAGTCCTGCAGTAAATTCTACCATCCTGTAGGTTATAATCAGGGAAATAAAATTAAATACAGCGTTTCAGCAACCAGTTCACATTTCCCTGTGATCACTCAGATGAAGGTTAGTTTTAAAGTAACCAACAGTTTAATGTTTAACTTACAGTTTGCTAATGACTCATACTAATTTAGTTACCTGGTGTTTGGTAATGAAACAACTATACTCTGCTTCATCTTAGCTACAACAAACATGAGGGGTGGATGGGTCGACATCCTGCTGTTTAACGGAACATAATGTAAATTGGTTAGTGACATAGCATGGGCTACTACGGCTAC